AACCCGTCACAAAGCTGATATAGACAGAGCGGTGCTTAACTTTTTGATATGTGTCTGTGTAGCGATATTCTTCGATGATCCACCGAGAACGGCTTCAGCTTCGTCGGCAGCAAAACTGCGCTTTATTGAGGAGAACATTCGGCCAAAGGTAAAATGTAGGGAGAGAACTGCTCAGACGGATGAGGGGTGCAAGAGAAAGCGACGTAAGGCTAACATGGTAGAGTGAAGTTAAAAGTACAATGGGTGCTATTTGAACATACATATTTTATCAATGTCGCAAACAAACAGACTGCGCGACAATGCACTCAAGTTTAAGGCTCGACTAGTCCATTTTTGCCGTCAATCTTCTATTTTGTACTGCTTATATCCACCACAACACGGTCTTTGATGCCTTGTGTTCGCGTATATTCCGTAAATGCAAATATTTTCTTCACATCTTTAGCAATTGAATTTATGCAACGTGTATCCAGCTTTGCTTTTCCATACGCTTCAACAGTACAAACGACATTAGGAATTGATTCGCATCCGTCACAACTCAGCGCACTTCCAAACTGTTTAGCGATTAATTCTTTGTTTATCTTTATCAGATCATACGTCAATGCTAAAGGCTTATGCAGCAGTTATCATCACACTCAATGCTTTAAATTTAAAACAACCTTAAACTGAATTATGATCAATGCTAAATAAATGCGTTACAGAAATGCAGTAGCACATGAAGAAATCTTGGTCTGGCACTTGGCTTTCACATCTTGGAGAATCTGAGCTTGCATTAGATCCTGCACCACGTACTTACCTTTGATGGCATTTTCAAGGAACACGTACATTTAGCGCTTTAAAAGCGTATTGCCCACCCATATCTTGCATTAGTAAGTCACAATCACATCACTCACCTGCAAGCATATAAAGCTACCGATTTCTGGCATGTGTGTGGATTAGTGTCCACCAAAATGTCTGGAAAAGTTATATGCTTTTGCAGAAAGATCATTAACGCAACGGTACAATCGACGATATTGTCCAACGGCGGAGACAGCCCCTAGCGCGCCATGACTATCTACGTGACTCTGTTGTGTGCGTTGTCCCTGGCAGTCTTACGCGTTACGTACAGGCTGACAACATTGGTATCTACCAGCGTTTAATATACAGCATGCTAAATGTAAATGCGTGGGAGGAGAGCGATCAAGTTGCGAATTCGAGATTCTGTAACCCCAGAACGCCAACATTCAAGACAAATACATCTTTGGTGGGCACGGAGTACAAAATTGTGAGTAACTCGACCAACGGTCCAATTACGGCTCCATAATTTATAGCTCATCGCGACATTTTTGGGGTATCTCTATAACAAACACCATTGCCAGGAATCGCGTTGCGGGTGACATTCGGGACAAGATTGATATTATTGTAGACAAGTATAGGAGCTGACCGTGAATGGTCTACCTGTCACAGCCTAGTTTTAACATGCCATGTAATATAGTTTCCCACGCGCAATGTCTACATTCTTGAATAGGCGGTAGCGAGCTCTATTCTTCCAAACCAAATTTGATCTGCATTTATATTCAAGTAATTGGTCACTTTACCATGCAAAAACCTTAAAAAGCAAAAGGTTTGGACTAAAATAATACGAGTTCACACATGTCCGAGAAACTAATTTCTAAACGCAAATTATAGAACTATTTTTTTATTCTAAGCGTGGTTGTAATGTCAAAAGCTTAGAACAAAACACATTTTGTACTCGTTAATCATAACAAACTTCATTATCATAGTTCAGCCTGGTTCAATTTCTGTTCATCAGCTGACTGTGACTGCTGCCGCGCTACAAACTCTGACCTTTCCACCTTTTTGAAGAAGAAATCAATCTGAGGACCCGACATTTTGAGTGGAGAGATCACTGAGACTGGAGTTGTCGTGACTGTGGTTAAGGAATCGGCCAATACTTTCGCTGTCGAGTTTTGTGTCGGCGCTTTTTGCGGTGGAGACTTAGCTGCAGTCTCCCCCGCCTCTTTCATCGCATCAGGCTTCTTCTTCATTTCCCGTGCCTTGAACTCCTCCTGATGTTGCTGTTCTTCTTTCGTCCGTTTTTGCTCTATGCGTGCTATTTCTAATCGCTCGCATTCTTCTTCGTGTTCACGAGCCTTCCGCATCATCGTGGACTCAAACACTGGCTCGCACAGCAGCTCACCCTTCAGACCAGATACCAAATTTTTTGAGATCTCATTGCTCTCACTAATCCAAAATGGTCCGAGAATTTGGGGCTCTAATTTTGTAGGCTTGGCGACTTTAGCCTTAACGCGCTTCCTTTGAAGCTGAGATGGTAGTTTGTGCTTTGTGGGTGACAAGGTCCTGTCTCCACCTTCTATCGGGTCTTCTTCAATTTCTGCGCCATCCATGTAGTCCACTTCATCTTCGTAAGCCAACCATTGATCTCCGTAGTCCAAATTATCTTCATCCGACTCCTCACCATCATTCTCATCATCTGATAAACTTTCACCTGGCTCTTCCTCTTCCCACTCATCGTCACTATCAACAGCATAATCAAAGTTCACATACTGTGCTAATGGTCGACGGCCACCATGAAAGATTGCAAGTCGCGTACTGCATGTGCCGTAATACGCTGGTCGGCTGTTTTCGAAAAATTGAAGCAGCTTCATCACGCCTCGCTTCGAATCACGATGCCTTCTAGCACTCCATCCATTCAAAAATGCGTTATTTACCACTTTCTTGGTACTTGCTTTGTTTTTTAAAAGTGACATAATGGATGGTTGAGGTAAATCCAATTTGTCAGAAGAAACGAGAGATACTGCGTTTGATTCCGATCTCAAAAAGCTAATTTCTGCATCCATACGAGCAATCACGGCACTTTGGCTTGTATCTACGTCTGCAATTCTCTTTGTGTCTTGGCCGCTGGAAGCTGAGACACTAGTTCCTGTGCTGTTTGCAGCGTCAAAAAATGCCATAAATCGTTTTTGCCGCTTGGATGACTCGGCAATTTTCTTCTCTTCATCTTCACGCTCGCGCTTACGCTTTTCTTCCTCCTTGGCCTCCTTTGCATGTTGCCTCTCTCGCTCTTGCTGTTTTTTCTCCAATGCAGCTTGGCGTTTATCCTGTTCTTTCATTTCACGGTCCTTTGCCTTTTGTAATTCAGCATTGATGACAAAACCAAACTTGCCTACTTTCGCTTCTTCTGCACTCACTTTGGCTTCGTCGACGGGTTTCTGATGCAGCAGATGAACGACTCGCGCCAGTGACTTTAATTGCTGACCCAGACGCTTGCGATTCTTTCGCATTCGTTTGATTATTTTCTGCGCTTCGTCATCAAAATATTTGTCCAAATTACCTACCTCCCAAACCCATAATGCATCCACACTTGTGTCTTCGTATACATTCGCCTTTGCTGGACGCACGCCGTGTGAAGTTCGCTGGGCTAGCATTTTAACCTCCATTTCCAGAGCAACCGAGGCACCGCTGTCTACTCTTTTATCATCTATAATACATTGGTTCATACCGTCACCTTCTAAATGTTTCTTAAGCGACTTTAAAAGTTCGCTTGTGACAACTGATAGGCTTGCAGTACAGCCTTGAATTTCCTTCGCAATCAAGCACTTTACTTCATGCGGAAACTCGACGCTCGAAGGCACTATCACCGATCCGGTACCGCAAGAGGAAAGCACGTGATCTTGCATCTTTCGCCACGTCTCTAGAAGAGCTTCCTGTGCTTTTTCAGTTTTCACTGTTACTCGCAGATTCCTATCCAAAATAGCACCGTAAATATCTTGCATCACTGTGTCGCTTTCTTGAGTCGACTGCAAGAGTTTTGTATATCGTTGAGTCAATTCCTCGGTCTTGAGCTTGTAGGTATCCACCCGAGCTTGAATGGCAGGATCCAACGGCTCTTTTAAATTCTTCAAATCAGCGCATGGATCATCTACCAAGTACTGCTTTTTAACATTTGCTAGCGACTTTCCCGTCTTTACTTTAGCTCTTTTCGTCTTCGTTTCTGTTGTACAATTCATCACGTCTCTTGCCATGTCGACCAAATCAACACCGGCTCCAATCTTTTCTTTGCTATTAATTTTCTCTGTGTTAATGACAATATTATTCTCTCCACTCATATCCACCACCTCTGGGTTATTCACAATCGAGTCGCCCGAGATTGGAGCTCCTGCTGGTACTATTTCTCCACCTGCTTCTAGCTCTGCTCGAGCTCTTTTAGCTTCTGGAGTATTAAAAACATCTTCATCGTCATCTTCATCACTGTCTGCCATAGCATGGGGAGAAATAAAACGAACTGGATGATTTTTTGTTCGAGACTTGGTCTTATGCAAAGTCTTTGTCTTGTCGTTGACTTTGGTTTTGAACTCAACTTTCAAGTTGGCTGGTTTAGCTCTCTTTTGACTGTTATTTTCCGATCTATTCAAGGAAATCGAAGATGGAATCTGCGTTTTAACAACAGATGACGTGGCTCGTGGCCGCTTTTCTGAATTGCTTTGAGACTTAAATTTTGCAACATTTTCATCTGTTTCTCGACCAGACTTTGACGGCGAAAAATACGTGAACATTGTGGCCTGTTTCGCTTCTTTTTTTTGCTATAGATAAGTAGTATATACATGTGAATAAGACAGATCTAGTCAGTATTGAGCAATAAAGAGGTCGCATCGAGCAACAATCACATATAAATAAAGCATAAATGTACCTCTACCATGGTCGAATATGGTAAACGATGAGGAGGTCGGAGACGTGCACAAGTGTTGCAATTTCTGACTCGATGTTGCTTCGCGTTGTTTTGGTGCGTTATGAGCGCACTATAAAGATAGTGACAGGTATGTCATTCAAGCGAGGTAAAAAGCTAGGTACTGATATTATATAAATAGAATGTGTCCAAATACACAACATACTGCTGTACGAACATAATACAAGTCACATGGACCTCGAGCCAGAAGGAAATAGGAGACATATATGCTGCTGCTGAAAGCCGACGGTATTTTGCCCATAAAAAGTGATACACTTTTGACTTCAAACAGCCATGTCACGCTGCCCAGCTTTGGCTTACTTAGAATAATTTTTAACTCTCTCACCTTACAAACTCCACGAGCACAAAGCGTCTGAGCCCCGATTTTTACCATATGTAGTGAATAGGCGCGTGAGCATTGATCTGAGGTCAGTCACCTCACTGATAAAAGCTCACTGGTAAGAACGTCTTTTTCTATCATTCCCATTTTGAGCACAATTTGAGGGGTCATGTTGATAAGGGAATAAAAAACATATATGAGTGCTAAATTTTAAGTATTTCGTCCCTAAATGCTGTTTCAACCACAATGTAACGGGGGTACAAGATTCTGCGACCGTACATAGGTGTGTATTACACAGTCAATGTAATAACACAGTGGGTGTGGCTACGAAGCAACCACGTGGCAGGATATTAATTGGGTTTTGCTATAATAATTAAGTATTACTATATTAAAACCTAGGCTTTTGCGGCTCAGTTAAAAGTACACACACGGCTATACCTACTCGGCCCTGACTAAGATACTACATCGCTTCATTCCGCTGGGGTATTTTTTTCTTGAGTTTAATTTTTGATTTTTCTTGTACGAGTCGCCATCCCGGAGTCCTTGTTGGCTGTTGTCGGTAATATTTAGCATGCAGCCGACATTTCTTGCATGTC